CATCACTCTCTATATTGTGTTATCTTCTGTCGTATATCTCCTCTCTCTCACCTTTGTGTGCGTGTTTACATAGGTAAATTAATATCAATTTATTAACTACTGCAGACTGATTAATGCATTTGCATGACATTTTTGGTTCACTAATGTCCATTATTATGCATAATCAATAAAATTTTATCTTTGGTGTAGCTATCTCTTCATTGGAATCTCAAGATCCGACGGAGTACTATGTGGGCGGCCTGCGAGTCTTGTCACCAGCGCTTCCGAGCTTGTTAAAACTTTCGTGAAACTTGCAAGAGCCGCTCCCGGAGGAGTTTCGGTTTCCGGTTCGGAAAGATGTGCACAGAGATTTGCCTCAAGGGAAAGAACTATTCTTTACTACCTCTACAGAACTAATAGACAGTAGAGCAATAACATACGACATTTTGAGCCCAATTATGCGACCAAACCCTAGTCTTAGTGGTGCAACATCTTCTTGTAGAGATTCATTCATTGGCCTATGGGATGATTGCATAAATAGGATCGTTTCAACATTTTGTTCCATTGAAATGGTCTTCATTCGAAAATCTTCGTTGTCATTAGCAGAAACTGTACAAGATCAATGGCCTAATGTAACCGGTTTTCTAAGAAATTTTTGCTTGTGGAGAGGAGAAGAAACTAATCAGTTAAGGGAAGGCCATCTTGATCCCTCTAGTTCCATTGTGGACAAGCTTTTGTGGACCTATATGGATCTTCCTTACATTCTTGGATACTATGCTGTTGGCTACATTGTAACGTTTTGTGCGTTAAACAGATTACAGGATCGCGTTATAAGAACTGATCTTTATACGGTTGACCTATCAACACCGGCGGAGAGAATAAAAGCCCTAGTCCCATGCTGGAGAATTGCAGGATTATTGTCATGGTTAGCTGATAGATGCTATAATTTCATTACCAATGGCAATAGCTATAAGGTTGTACCTTATAGTGATTTTGAGATAATCGATTTAGGGGATGGGAATATCGCGGAAATGACACCAAATACAGTGAACAGATTATTCTCAAGCAAAAGAAAATGGGCAGCAGTGAAGGAAATTTATGATTTTCTTGATCACAGAATCCCACATGCTGAGTTTATTATCCGATCTTCAGAAAAATATTTAGCAATGGTACTCAAGCCCAGAGGGCGCAAATTTAGGCCAGCAAATTGTGATAAGTTAATTGAGCTCTAAAGCATGTAACCAAAGCATGGGTTGCATTACATGATCTTTCAGGACAAAGTGATGAAGAAAATTAATAGAGAAAGTGAATGGTTCATTACCGGCTTCGACGAGGCGATGGGTGCACCACAGTTGAACCCCAACAGGGGTGTAGCCACTAGAAAGCACGCGCCGGAGATGGGGCGGGGTTTACATGGGGTGAAGGTGGACGTGTGGGAAGTAGGTCAACTAGTAAAGACTTGTGGATTAGTAGGCGTGCCTAAATTGCTTAGGGAGTTGCAGAACAGATGCTTGGACCACAACCCAGAACAGCGGCCAACGGCGGCGGACTGCTACCACCACCTGCTGCAGCTGCAGTCTTCAATATCAGCTGTCGCCACCGGAGAGTATTTGACGCCGGCAGTATAGTGATTATTCTGCAGGCTGGCATCAATTGACAAAAACAGCGAAGAACGCAAGAGAAACACAAAGAAAAACGAGAAATAGCTTTATTATTCAACAACTCGATGAAAATGACCCACAAGTCGGGTTAAATAGTCAGAAAATAATAATTATC